ACACAGAGCTTTACAACCTTCTCAAACATAAGGGAGAAATAACACCACGGTTCTTTCTGGAAAAGACATATAATTCTCATCTAATGATATTTAATGCATGAGGTGTATCCCAAACCTGCCTTTTTACAACCTCCCTTTCCAGTCGAGTATTGCACGCCTCACACAAAGACTGAGACCTTCCCTCTCACACATGAGAAGGAGATGTTTGAGGAACACGCCAGAAACTTTCCCTGCTTTATTGTATGGTGATCATCACGGATGAGTCCAGAGCTTAAACGCTTTGGCTGCAATGTAGCCCATGGTTTCGTAATGCCTGCACGATTTTCAGAGTTCACACCGCATGACTGTCTGGGGCGGCGTTCAGTCACACTACAACATTGTTACTTCTCCACAAACGGAGAAACACTCGCGAGAAGAGACTTGAAAGCAACGAAATATGTTTCTGGACTTCTGGATTAATGACCAAAAATGGAAGTGTGCAAGCTTTTTCCATTACTTGGGATTAACTAAACATCCCTTTTTTAACTGAAGCCATTGTTGATATATCGGTCTAAGCTTTTGTAACCCCTCAATTTCCTGCTCTCTCATTGGCTGCAGGTTATTTTCTGTCACACTGCACAAGTCTGCACAAGCCCAATATCTCACGACCAGCTCTAACTCACCAGCCAGTGACTCTTTCTGATCGCGTATTTGTGTTTCACACGGTGGGATTGTTGACACTAGCCCATGATTTACGGCAGTTTCTACACCAGTCTGTGATTAAATCCTGATATAATCATGGAACGGAGGGAACGTGGAAGATGTAGCATGACTCGACTGTAGAGAACCCGCCATCCTCCAGCCCACCACACTGTGCTTTCATCGCCTGGCCTTTTGATTATGAAGCAACAAATTACTAGGAAACAAAGTTTTACAAGACTACATATAAATATAATAAGTATGCTTTAGAAATACAGAATTTTGACCATTTTCACCTGCTGTTGAAGTCAGACAGTGAATAGTTTTACATTTTAGTGGCTGTGGTGTGAGAAACATCAATTTTGGTTTGTCAAACATCAATACAACCCTTATTACACCACTTTAAGAAAATTTATTTTTATGTCAATAGGCCAATAACAAAGGCTAATAAACTAGTTACATTTTTTGTTACATTTTTCACATATTTTTCTAAATGTAGAGAAATATGCTCACACAGTCCCAACAGTGAAGCATGGGGGTGACAGAATCGTGCTGTCTGGGTGTTTTCAGATGCAGGGACAGAACGACTGGTTGAAATTGGGGGAAAGATAAATGCGACAACATAAACACCACCTCCAGGGCGCTCAGGACCTCAGCACAAAAAAAAATGGCTGCCCACCAACATTCACCATCACCCTGACCAGAACTGTTAAGGATCTGCAGGAGGAATGGCAGAGGATCCACATCGATTCGAGGTATAAAGATCTTTCTCCGAATCGACCCATGGCTGCTTAGATTAAAAGCGCTTCTACCGAATACTGAGGACGTTGTCATGGGCAACTTTTTCTTTTCTTTTTTTTCCTTTTTTTTTTGAAAATTTGCAAGAATGTAAAAAATTCAGTGTTTGTCTGTCAGCGTACAAAATACAACTTAAATGATAAAGAATAAAACATTTGAGGGGGTCTGAATGTTTTCTGTACCCGCTGTATGTGGGAATACACACCTGCGAAGAGAACTGACGTGTACGAGCTCGTTACTCCAGAGCGTCTGTCTATCTGTAATATTGTGTCCACATGTGTGGAGAATAACTCGTAGAAAGTGTCTCCGATCCTTTCAGACAGTTTCACTCGCTCTCTCACTGAGCGCCATTGTTTCACGAGAACCGAAAGCGGGGTCCTCTCGATTCTTTCGTCCCCAGGGAAGAAAAGTTTGAAAAAAGAACCTTCTCAGGGAAAGGCTCAGTATCTCAGACAGCAAACCCTCTGACCATTCTTCTCCGTGTCTGGAGCGTCGGAGTGGCTGCGAGCCAGGTGGAGTGAATGGAGCTAAACAGACTGCATTAGCAGCGCATGATGCATACTAAGCGATGCTCTGCATTAAGGTGGTAATTCCTGTGAAGGCGACACAAGATGCATGCTCTCTCTTCTTCAGACACATTAGGGGATTACATGCATCGATTGCACACGCTGAGCCGACTGAACTAGCCCTGTATCACTCAAAGGTTGCGGCACGTTTCCTCCTGCTGCAAGGGCTCGATGCAGACAGAAATGGCTGTATGCTTCAAACTTGCTCCAGTTTGATGTGAATTCAGCTGAGAGTCTGCACTTTAAGAGGATTTTAAAAATATATCCAAATATTTCTGCGCCTAACTGTATGCAAATCCAGGATATATAGCAGGGGACACACGCAGCGATGCTTTCTCTATCTGAGGAGGAATGAATCCAGACACCCAGCACCTCCTCGGCTCACTGCAGGAGTCAGGTGAAAGAGCATTCTGTACCTGCGCTCGTGAAACATGTTGGGACTCGGGTAAGCGGACCTGACAAGAAGGCTAATTTCCCCTCGGGCGGCGGGTGGCCAGGACTCCATCATGGCAGATGGGCTGTAATTGGGACGGATGTGTGCAGATGCCTAGCTGCGCCCGCACGGATTCATCACGTCACAATCTACTGATGGAGGGCTTGTTTGTTTGAAGCTAATTAGGCAGAAATTTGTTTTCATTCCCTCCTTATCATGCTGCAAATTGATCTAATAAGAACAGCACGGTGTTTGTGGAAAGCTTCCATCAGGATCCTTGGAGCCGACTGATTCTGAGATGAACTGGACAGAGATTGGGAAATCAGAGCACAGACGATTCCCCCAACTTTTTTTTTGCACCGCAGACAAGTGAAATGTGGTGTAATGCATTTTATTCTTGGACTGGGCTTCAATGTGCAGCAGAGAAATGCAGCAAAATAAAATAACACCCATATGCTGAATGAGAGAGATAACTGGGTTTTTGCTAGTTTTCACCAGCTTGTTAGCATCTTGTGTCAGCGTCTCAACGGTTTTTAATTAAAAGTTCTTACAGACTTTAAAGATCATCTGAAATATAAGAAATTATTTTTCTTCTATATTTCATTTCTATATGTAAGAATGAAGGAAGCAAACTGTGTTTGTGCTCTACCTGTAGAGGGAGCCCTTTAGTGTGATGGGCTGCTTTCTCAGTGCGGAGCTTACTCTATGTATTTGGAAGGTGAAGATGTGTGTTGTGTGCTGCGTCTCATTATCTGGTTTTAATGTGTTTGCAATCTGTGAGTTTTTGTGATTTTTTTCCCATGTCTGTCATTGTTTAGTGAGGTTTGATGTTATTTTTGCATGTTTCTAATCCCTTTTTTTGAAAATTGTTTATGTAATCTAATGTTATTTATTCGTTTTTGATCTGTTTTTCTGGTTTTGGAAGGATGTGAACATTGACAACTCCTGAACATAACGCAGAGTCCGGAGAGGATCAAGCAGGTCAGTAAACAGGATTGGTTAGTTTGCTGGTTTCAAGCAACACACGAGACTCTGCAGGTTGTGAGCCTTAGATCTGACACTACTGTAACTCTAATAATAAGCTTTTTTAGAGTTTTAGTATATTTTTGTGTTTCATATTGAAGTATAAAGTTAATTAATGAATTTATTTTGCTGCTTTAAAGAACCAGAGAGCTGAATGATGTCACTACCGCTCTGGGATGACACAAATACGAGTTTTGGTAATTAATATGGCGAGAAGTAAATAATTAACAAACAAGAGCAAAATATTTCTTTGTTTACTATAACAGAGGCACAAAGTGAACAGAAAAAGTACAGCGTCAAATCTGGCTAATTAAAGATGAGGGAGCACTGAGAAACAAAACTGCTCAGCAGAAGAACATGCAGCAAGTTATAAGAGAGGGAAGCTGGAGAGAGAGAGGGAGAGAGAGATGGAGGGAGTGCTAAGTGGGGAAGAGAGAAACAGAGACAGATCTACGAGAAAGTCATAAAACTTTGAGCACTGGCAGTCCAGCTCTCCTGGATGGATGCATGGGAAGAAGAAGCAGCTCTGGTGCTATTTAAAGCTCCAGGATCCACAGGGACCGAGGAGCTGAGGAGCTGAGACGGCACTTTCAGCGCTAACCGGCCACGGAGAGAGAAAATACAGCTGCAGCTGCTCTCGAAGTGAGAAAACTCTCAAGTCTTGCCAATGTTCGCTCTCAACACGTTCCAAAATTTGTTACGCTTCTGTCCTCGGCGGAACACAGGACTCAGAGACTGTAGAGCCTTGTGAACAGAGATTACGTCCAAAATCAGGAGACTGCTGCATAGAAATTAACAGATGGTCACCGAGACAAAACATATGCAAGACCAGGATGAGTCCAAGTACAAAGTGGGTTGAGATCAAGACAGACTGAGAACAAACAGAGGTGATGGCAAAACAGGATTTAGACTAATGAGGGTCCCGACCCAGGCAAGGGGACCAATGAGATTCAAGGCCATGGCAAAAGTGAGAACAAGATTTACAGCAAAGAGAGACTAAGACAAGGCCAAGACAAGACAAAGATCAAGAAGAGCCAGAACAAAACAAGGCTGATTAAGAGATCTGAAACTAAATAAATGTTCACGACTAAAGAGAGTCAAGAAAAAGAAAAGACCAGGACCAAAATAAGTGATGGCAGAGTCTAAAACAAGACTTGCAAGAAGTATGTTGAGATCAAGACCAAAGAGGCTTCGGTTTCGAGAGCTTTAAAGACTAAGGCAAGACTGGGACCACAAAGACAAACGTGATGAAACAAATGAGGCTAGAGATACTCACAATAAAGAGAAAGCTGTAACCAATAGAAGCCGAGACCAGTGACACAAAAGAGAGTCAGATCAATTAAAAAAAGACCAAAGAGATTAAAAAAGGACCAAACCTATAGTTAAGACTAAGATTAGGCAAATAATAATGAGATGGGATGGAGACATGGACAAGAGAACATTTACTTTTATTTTGTCCAAAGCGACTTACATTTTGAAAGAATGAACACATTTTTTGTCAGTTCCTGCTGTCCCTGGGATATGAACCCACGACATTTGTGTTGTTGGCGCAACGCTCTACCAACTGAGCCGCAGGAATGAAGACCAAGACAAAAAAAAGCAGAAACAGCCAAAAAGAAGCTGAAACCAACACAATGGACTTCCTGAGCAACTGCTTCTACGTTATTTCCAGAATAGCATTCTGTGAACGATGTTTGTTGATTATTCAAAACAGCAAGTGTCACCTCCTCTAGTGAAGTGGACAGAAACGGTACAGTTCTTTACACAGAAAGATTTATGGCAATAACAGTTTGATTCCTGCGTTTACAACGCTATGACAGTTAGCTTTGTATCTAACAGCCACCAAAACTATTTTTCCTTTCTTTTAATTGGACACAACGATGGATGTACAACGTCACCGGGACATCACGATCAAGGTTAGTTTATAATTCTGCAGCTCTCATTTAGCTGCTGCAAGCTTCATCACACCTCGTCTGAGCCAGCGAAACTCTGCAATCCTGTACTGTGCTGAAACTTTTCTAATGGCTTCCTCAACTTCATGGATGAGAGCATCACTTCTAGCACAAATCATGTGTAAAGATCAGGACCGTTACAGTAATCAAGCTTCGTCTCACACGCAAGCATTGCTTTCTGCAGACTTTTCAAGCCAAATTTAAAATTTATGTAATTTAGAAAAATCCTTTGAAACCAACATCAACAATCTAAAGTGCTGGAATAAGAGACAGCATGTGATTTAGGAATTACCACAAAATAAAAAACAAAACAAAAACTGATCACTTTTATTGCAGTAGTGTTTTGTTTTCTCTTGTGTTCCTGAACCCAGGAGGAGAAACGCTCATGTCTGTAAAATAACGGCCTTCAAACCCATGAATGAGAAAGTCACTATTAACGTCTGAATGAGAGCGGGTGCTCAAGTGGGTGAAGCGGCATCTGTGAGACCCCCGGTTCACCCGAGCATAGTATTCTGGTAAAGGTGAAAGCATGCTGCGGCAGAGTGCTGGTCTTGTATTCATGTTCACCGCTGACCGCCGCTGCGGCCTCATTCAGAGATGTTTCCCTCCACTAATGGACCGATGGAAAGAGTAAGTGCACGAACAAAGGCCACTTTGTTTTTATAAAATGACTAGTTCTCAGGAAGGGTGCGGGATGCGGTACCTAAGAGTATGAGGCTGCAGACAAGCATAGCGATGAGCGCTCCAGGGCTAAGCGTGGCAGTGATGGCCAGGGCGGTGGCGTTGCAGTCGAGGATGGCACCGGTGCCGTCGCAGCCGCACACGTGGATGGTGAGCGTCCCTGTGCTGCTGAGGGCCGGCGGACCGCTGTCCACCAGAAGGATGGGGAGAAGATAAACACTCTGCTCCTGACGGCTGAAGCGCGCCCGCTGCGTCCGGATCCCCGCCGTCTTCTCTACAAGATACAACACACGGTTTACATCAGAGAGAGAGACAACCAATCAAATCATTCGTCGTCTACATGTGATTATGAAGGATGCTGCCTCTCTTTGATCATCCGTTCATCGCTGGGACACAAGGCACCAGCTCCGTGGAAAGCTTTGGGAGGAGCTTGAGAGATAAACTGATCACCTGCTGCAGCGACTCAAACAGCCGAAAATGCAACACTCCGTGCAACAGGCTCCGCGTCTGAGAACTTTTACATTCAAAACTAAACTTAAAATATACAAAACATTATTAAAAAATTTAAGCCAAGGGTGTGTCCAAGAAGTGATGGTGTTTATGGTAAGAAACCGATAACCAGAAAACAACCAGCAAAATAAATGGAGAGATCCTGTACGCTGCATCGTCTAACTTTGGTGTCAAATCATAGAAGCGTGAAATATATGATGCATATTTTATCACACCCAAAAGGAAAGGTGATCACTGTTTATAAGACCTGCAGGGCGGGGCCGAGAATGCTTCTGGATATGTGTCGTCAGTCTGTCACCGGGCCTGATTGACAAACCTGAGATTGAAACCTGTTTGACAAACACTGACCTGTAGCTTTCAAACAAAACAATCACAAAGAGCTTTATTACCAAGTAGGTTTGCAATTACAATGAATTTGCTTTGGTGACAGAAGCTACCAGTTGCATATTTATTCATATTTATATTTTGCTGAGTAGAGCATTTAAGTGTTCATGAGGTAGATTGCACCAGGTAAGAAACTTAACATGTGGCAACAGCTGTGTTTAGTTACTGCTGGAGCTAAACTCTTCCTCCAGGAGTTTAGATCCTAAAAACTGTGTGTGCGCCGTATAAGCTAGTAACAGAGTGTGCAATCTGATATTATATAGAATGCCTAGATATCGTACAGAACACCAACAAGCGTGTTTAAATCATATTTTATACCATATTTTAACAAAATGTGTAACTGTGAGTAAAACTCAATACACTGTGGTATGATTTATCGCGATACAAAAGCGTCACAGTACGTATCGTGAAGCTACTGCGAGTCTAAGCATTGAATGTTGTAAAAGAGTGAAGAAAAAGAGCTCTCTTACCTTTTTCATTTTTCCATTGATCAGTTTTTATTGCTAGTTTTTATTATTAAAACATATCATATCAGACACTGATGGTTTAAATAATGAATATGTTTGGATAAATTGGATTTTGTTTCTATGTTTTGGTAAATCCATATGGTATCGTGGGCATAATACAGTGATGTGTAGCATATCGTATCTGGCCAAGGTTTTGCAGACACTCTCATGTCGTCCTTTTTCCTGGTAATCCAGTGCGTCATTTATTGGTTTATTTATTAAATAATATGATTAAAACCTTTTATTATTTTCACAAAACACCATCAACCAATATTTTTAAAACAACTATAAATTTTGAATATTAAGAGATTACAAAAACACATGATTACAACATTTTGTTTTCTCGTGGGTTTTCATCCGGGTTTCTTATAAAAGAAACCAAAACACATTTTTGCACAAGTAACATTTACGTATTTTCTGTATTAGATCGTACAGTATATTGCTATATTTGCAGCGATAAACTGTATTTTCATATGTTGTAGATTCTACGATTATCACGTTTTATTTTACTTTCAATCGCACACGCGTACATTCATGGCTGGATTCCTCGATGAAAACTCAACAAACCGCTGAAATCTTCATGGCTGATTTATCAGATGGTGAACTTCCTTCAAAAGCTTAAGACACTATAAGAAATATAGTAAAATACTGTCTGACAAACTGTGAATATGAAAGAGCAAACAAAACGCTTTCACAAACTTATTTTCAAAAAACTTACAAGAGACATCTAGTGGAAGTCTCAGCTCGAAGGTCACCATTTCAAAGTGCTGCCGCGGGTCTTCTAGAGCGGCGTTTGCATGTTCTCCGTGTTCCTGCGTGGGTTTCCTCTAGGTAGCTCCGTTTCCTCCCACAATTCGAAAACATGCTTCAGAGGAACTAAAGCCGCTAAATCCCTCCAGGAGAGAACGTGCCCTGTGATGGTGGGCCAGTGTGGGCTGGGGATCGGCACCAGCAGATCCCTGTGACCCTAATCATGCACAAGCGCTTCCCCAGATGAACGGACAGATGATTAGCGAAGGTCAAATAGACACTTTCCTATTTTCTTTTCTGACGTCTTTAGTGCATTATACCTCAAAACCTGCCTCTTTCATTGCTGTTAGCAAGAATCAGTGTCATGATAAAACTCCTCGGAAGCTTCCAGAAGCTTTTACAACCGCTGATGTATGAATATGAGCAATGCTGACAAACAGCAAAATCCAGTGAAAAACTACAGCGAGGGCTCGACTAATGGACCAGCACACCCAGAACCCAGCATCCATCACGGAGAACATCCATCAGCTCTGCTCGCAAATAAATCCAGCCCTGCATTTGCCTGTTTTTTTCCTCCCGAGTTAAAGCTGGGTCACATCGATGTTCAACCGCAGCGGTAAATCTGATCTCTGAGACACTTGGATGATCGTAAATACAACAAACAGATCAGCGGTGAAGACGTATCCACTCAAACATCTCCAATAACATCACGAGACGTTCTCATCACCATAATCATTCTCTCTCTGATCCCTGCCGCTGGAGCGCCTGAAACTCCAGAAGCTAGGAGGTGCTCGGTTGATGTGATGCTGGTGGATACACTGTGTCTAGGAGACCAGGTGGAAGGGTTCGAGATTTCCAGAGGAAATGCTCCAGAGAAGCATCAGTAACACCAAAGCTGGAACCTGACGGTGTGATGTTCCATGTTGTAAGTGGCTGAGCCCTACAAACCAGTTTTACCATCTCTAGAGATCATCTGCCTCCTTATTTCATTCACGCTTTTTCAGCTTTGTTTGTTAGTCATCTGGGGCCCAATGGATGAGGAGATGTAGCTCCACTGGGAGTCAAAGACAATATTGAAAGCAAAGTCCTTGGGCAAGTCATCAGTTTCCCCCATGGCTCCCCAGCTCTGGCTGCCCACTTCTGTGCGGGTTTGCATTGGAATGGGTTAAATGCAAAGCACAGATTTCCATGTCACTCCAGACCTGGTCGCGGAATGTCACTTTGGCTTTGGATAAAAGCATCTGGTAAAACTAATGTTAATGTAATCAACACTTCAGCGAGCTCCATGATGGATGCGATTTAAAAGTGATCGCATACCAGTCATTGATCAGCTCTCATCAAATCCATCAACCAATCGTTTCTTAAGGAGCAGAGCGATGCGACCTTTCAGTATTAATCTAGTGGGGCAGCAAACAGCTCCACGACACATAGAGGAGGCAGAAGAGAAGAAATTGATTGAGTTCAGCACCTCGCATCAGCTTCCCGATTAACAGCGTAATTGATTTCGACTCATCAAAAGCTTCAAATCAGATTTAGTGCTGTGTTTAGAGGGGTTCCTGCACTTTCAGACCGAGGGATTAGTGTGACCTTTACAGTTACTCGATGAGGATTTAAAAAGGGATCCAAATTCAGATAAACTCATGGATGAATCATGCAAGCGGAATCGAGTCGACTGAATGATTCCCAAATGAGTCATTGTAAAGAGTTCAGTGTGACCGAGCAGCTGTATCCCACGAGGATCAAGACTGTGCTTCTGGAAACTTTTGACCATTCTTCCAGAGGTTATCGATGTAG